AAAAAATACCAAAAGCTTACTTAATCTGATATAACTACTTAATTTGATATAGCTACTTAATTTGATATAGCTACTTAATTTGATATGACTACTTAATTTGATATAACTACTTAATTTGATATAGCTACTTAATTTGATATAGCTACTTAATTTGATATAACAACTTAATTTGATATAGCTACTTAATTTGATATAGCTACTTAATTTGATATAACTACTTAATTTGATATAACAACTTAATTTGATATAGCTACTTAATTTGATATAGCTACTTAATTTGATATGACTACTTAATTTGATATAACTACTTAATTTGATATAGCTACTTAATTTGATATAGCTACTTAATTTGATATAACTACTTAATTTGATATAATTACTTAATTTGATATAATTACTTAATTTGATGTAGCTACTTAATTTGATATAATTACTTAATTTGATATAATTACTTAATTTGATGTAGCTACTTAATTTGATGTAGCTGCCTTTTTCATAGAAGCTGCTTTATCCTTAAGAATATTATTTTTAGAGTTTTTACGTTTCCATGCATGTAAGGTGTTTTGACTCCTTTACGCAAGTAACCTTAACTCACTTAGGTTTCGTTTTCATCTGGCTTAATATACCCCATGACCATATTACGTATTTATACATGAATACTTCGTGTATGTCGTAAGATCGACTATGGTACCTTTTGTAGTACACATCGTGACATTTGACTCTATAACTTTGTGTACATTTTTGTTTTGTTTTTCCACGAAAAAGAAAATTTTAGCTTTTCTACAATCTCGTGACGTATTCTTTACACCTTTGGTGTGTAACTATTAATTTCTCTTTTCATTAGGTTTGTATATGGGCTATTTACAAACGACATTGTGAACTCCTACAAACCCACCTATTGTACTGAATGGTTTTCTAAAAGTGTATATACATTATTTAATATAATTTTAAAATACATATATCAGTTATCATGTTGATATCTTAATATTACATATTTTGCATTACAAATACACATACTAAGTTTTTATAATTTTTTTGTAATCATGAAGTTCTTATGTTTATTCCACAGAAAATCCTATTATTTATTTTTTCACCCATGAAGAGTATATGATAGCCGTATTTTTTTGTAATCATGAAGTTCTTATGTTTATTCCACAGAAAATCCTATTATTTATT